CACTTATCTTTGATACTCGTTAAACTTTGATTCATACTATCATACTTATGAATTAATAAAAATAATGTATATAATATTATAATTACTGGAGTGAAAATGAAGTTTTTGAATTTGCCCATAAGTTAAATTAACATTAATTGTGACAAAAGAATCAAACTAAATATTAATATTAATATTAATATAATTTATGAATCTTTAATTAAATAATTAGTATGACTTTAAGTTTGTTTGATATCATTAATTTAAGTTTGATTACAAACACTCATATTTCTTAATATACCATGAGTCGTCATACTATAATGTTATAATTAATTAAATTTTTAATCATTTAATTAAGTAATGTATTAATGTTCATCAATTTATCATATATAATTACTAATATATATATATAGGACTTGATAATTGAAGTAAATATTATTCAATCGAATCAACTATTTTATTAAAAAATAATTATTTTAATAAAATTAAAATACTTTTAATTGGATCCTTATTCCAATTATACTCTTAATTAATCAAATAATAAATCAAAACTTTATGTTTAACATTATAATATATATTTTAAAAATATATATAATATATAATATTTATTATTTAATAGTATTTAATATAATTTATCCCATCTAGAGCTGTCAAGGACCAGTCCCAAGCAGGCCTGGGCTTGGGCCCATTTGGGACTAGTCCTAAATGGGATACTAGTCGCTCATGAGCTTGGAATCGTCCTAGGCCCATGAGAAATTTTAGGACCCAAACCGATCCTATGGGCCTGGAAAGTTTATTTTTTGCCCCTGATCTTTTTTTATATTTTAGGGGTAAAACAAAATTTTATAGAGGCTTTTAGTATTTTTTAGGGGTAAAATTTATAAAATTTGTAGGGCTTGGAAATTTTTTTTTCTTTTTCTTTTGATAAATTTTGTAAAAAAAAATTTAACCCCTATAATTTATGTTTATTTCAAAATTTATAGGGGGTTTTATGTAATTGTATAAGAGATTAAAATAAAAATATTTAAAAAAATTGGTCCCAGGCTAAGCCTTGGAGGAGGGCCCAGTGGAGGGATCGGGTCCTCTTCCTTAGGCCTGGTCCCATTCCTAGGACTGAGTTTTTGGGTTGGGTTTTTGGACCCAGTCCCAAATGCCTACCTCTAATCCCATCCACTTCTTTGCCACATCACCCATGTGTCTTAATTGCATTTTAATTTTTTATATGCATTTCATAGACACCCCATACTTTATTGATATTTAATTCCAGTCCCGATTCCAAGACAAGTTCCATCCCGAGTACCCAACCTCGGTTCCCATTCTAGGTTTCAGGCGATGCAAGAACCGAAAACAATACCAAAACTAGACCCGCATAATGGCAATTTCAAAAATTGGTACTAGAACCTACCCTATGAAGCCGGCTTCGGGTTCTGGTGCTATCGACCGATTCCAGGTAGAACCATTACCCATGTTCACCCCTAATTACTGCTATGATATTAAATGATGAAATTATTTTTGATGTAATTTATAAGCCATTGGGATCATAGCACTTTAGATGGTTGAGATTCAATACAACTTACATAATCAATGCACTTTGGAAATATCATATATAAATACAATCTCAACCATTTAAATGCATTAATCTATTAGATCAAAATTACATCTAAAAAAAAAAATAAGGCTTCGATCCTAACCAGTAGATATTTATAAACAGAACCATCATTTTATTTATGAATTGATATGACAACGTGTATAGGGTAATTAAATATTTAATTTCATCATCCATCACATTAATGCAACTTACATAATTAATGCACTTTGGAAATATCATATATAAATGCAATCTCAACCATTTAAATGCATTAATCTATTGGATCAAAATTACGTCTAAAAAAAATAAGGCTTCAATCCTAACCCGTAGATATTTTTATAAACAGAACTTTCATTTTATTTATGAATTGATATGACAACGTGTATAGGGTAATTAAATATTCAATTTCATCATCCATCACATTAATACAACTAACATAATTAATGCACTTTGGAAATATCAAATATAAATGCAATCTCAACCATTTAAATGCATTAATATATTGGATCAAAATTACATCTAAAAAAAATAAGGCTTTGATCCTAACTGGTAGATATTTGTAAACAGAACGTTCAATTTATTTATAAATTGATATGACAACGTGTATAGGGTAATTAAAGATTTAATTTCATCATCCATCATATTAAGGGGGTGTTTGTCTGAGCTTATGAAAATTAGCTTATAAGCAACAAGTACTTATAAGTTAATATTAGCTTATAAGCATTTGAAATTTTAAGCAATTACGTGTTTGGTTAAATTACTTATAAGTGACTGATAAGCAGTTGATGTGTTTGGTAAAATGTGGCTTATAAGTACATTTTATTATAAAATGACTAAAAAAGGTACTACATTAAACAAGGGTATACTATGAAATTTTAAAATTAAACAAGGATAATGTGGTAATATACTCGGTCAAACTCTGCTTATAAGCTAAAAAAAAAAAGTACCTCTCCCCCAACTTATTTTTTTTGGCTTATAAGCTCAACTTATAAGCTCAAAAAAATTATAAACAAACAGGTCAGCTTAATTTTAGAGCTTATAAGCAAGTTTGACCAGCTTATAAACTTAGACAAACACCCCCTAAGTAGTTAGGTCAACGGTACTCTATCGTGTAGAGGGTATCACCGGTCAATGGCAGGGTACCAAGACTGAGTCAACGCTCAACGTATTGATTTAGTGTAATCCACATATGCATATTACTATGTATACATCACATTCAATATAGCCAGGTCGGTGGTAGACCTACGTCCCATTTAAATTTGGTGTAGAAATATATCAATTTAATCCCTTAAACTTCAGGCTCTTTTTTGAATTCTTTGTTAATTAAACTCTATGCTTTCATCCCTTCATTTAGGGATGTCAAAATATTACTGAGCTCGATTTTCATTTAAATTTGTCACCCAACCTAGATATAATATATGAAATTTTAAAAAATAGAAACTTACATTATCCATCCTCAAAAGGTAATCGAGTAAAACCAAAAAGAAAAGTCATGTCGGCCTACACACTTTCTTTTTTTTTGGTGATCAAGAGTATCCGGATCAATTTCGTGCAGCTTAACTATTTTTCCAGGGTCATGAAGTTGATAACTGGATAAATCTCTTTAGTGGCTACACCTATTAACAACGCAAATGGATCGAATCATGACTTTTTAGGTAATAGACCCAAGACCGCTAACACACTTGGAAGCTATTTTATGTAGAAGAAAAACCCAATCAGGTGGTCCGAAGTCAATATCATAAGCCCAAGGCTTTGAGTAGTTGACTTAATAGTAGGATAGCTGACTTAGGTCAATGCTTATCCAGATTTGTGTGGAAGTTATTTCTCTCTTATAACATTATGGTGCCAATTTTTAACAAAAATAATGGTTATACAATTATCAAGTATCGTGGCGAAGATAATTTAATTCTCTCTTATTACACCCTTAATCTTATGATATTATAAAAACAATGGTTATATATATATAATGAAAACTAGATCTCAAATTCTAAAGCAAAATTTATATATTATTTATACATTTTTTTTATCCATATGACATTATGCCTCATTAAAAAATTAAACATTAATAAATACTATATGGACCACTGTGGCGTTGAGTTTGTCGTTTAAAATACTAGATAAGAAGGACCATTTCAAAGAAAGGGACGTTAGAAAGTTTGTCAAGGTTTGGGGTTTTTGAAAAGAGTAAACGACTTTTCCCACCTAAGGTCGACTTTTCCCACCTAAGGTTTGCTTTAATGACACTTTTGCACCCAAAGTTTATATTTTGTTAATACCTAAAATACACTTTACTTTCTTAGCCGACGTTCGGCGAGTTATTAAGAGTCAAAATAAGAGCCGTTTTGTAGAGTGGAGACCAGTGGATCTAATGGTGGTGACTGATTGAATGTTTATCACTGAAATCAGTCAAAAATCAGCTAAAAACAAGAAACTCTAGCTTTATGGTGATCGACAATTAGCGAAAAATCAGATGTCGAAATGAGAGAAGTTTTGTAAAGAGAAGACTAGAGGTTCAAATGGTGGTGACGGAAAGAATTTCCATGTCAGAATCAACAGGAATTTGCTTTGGATAGTAACATAATATTAACTTTGGTGGGGAAAGTGGTATTTTGAAACATTTTGGATGGAAAAATGTCATTGAGGTAAACCTTGGGTGGGAAAAATTTGTTTACTCTTTTGAAAAATATTAAAATATATATATATGATTTATTTTTTATTTTAGGTATCTAACCCACATTGGAGTCTGTCTATGGAACATCCTATAAACTCAACGGATAAAGATAATTGCATAAATGTGATAGGTATCTCTGTCTAATCCCCAGAGCCATGAAACACTCTAAAAGCCCAATGAATAAAGATAATTGTGTAATTTGATATGTATTTCTCCTATGACTCGAACACAAGACCTTCTGAGTATATTTAATCTTAATAGCTAAAAGGTTTGTTAGCCGACCATGAGGGAAAAGGTTAAAATCTTTATGATTTCACAATTATATAGTATAGTAAGTGAATCTGGCTACGTAAATAACATGATAATTTCAATCTAACATGTGGTTAAGTTTCTGCACATATGAAACAAAATAGACTTTCTGCATAAATAAAACAAAAATGGATGCCTTCTCGCGTTTTAGTCAGGTTTAGAACAATGATCTTTCAAGTCAGCCTGGAAACTTGTAATTTAGCTATCAACTTTTCTATACCCCAACTTACAGGGAAGAGGGCATCCATTTTGTAATTTAGCTACCAATTAATTGTCTAAATAAAACAATTGCTCCATCTCTTTCAGGCTAAAATGACATATTTACTGTTGTCATTAAATCATGTTTCTTCAACAACAATGGGAATTTTTTAAGTATAAAATTATCCAGTTAAATGAATCCCTTGAGATTTTGTTACTGATATACCTACTTTGCTTTATATATATATATAATCATCCACTTATTCACCTAGTTAAGAAGAAAGAAACTCAAAAAGAGGATGATGGATAAGTTAAAGAGCGTCCACTATGCTCTGCTTGCGATATTCACTCTTGCAGCATTGATTCATGCTCAGGATCAATCAGGTTTGAACTTGTCTGTATAATTAGTTCAGAGTTTGCTATCACTAATTACCCAAACCGGATTTTTGTAACCTGAAACTACCATATGTAAAGTTTATATGTAAATTGTATGAAGTTCAATATAGTTGGCAATTTAAGTTCTAATTGAGCCTAATTTTTGCTTTATTCTTTATCTTTCTTTAAGACTTCATTAGCATAGATTGCGGGAAAGCAGAAGGTCCTGACTCTATTCATCTTGCTAATGGCATAAAGTACACTTCAGATGAAAACTTCATTGATACAGGGTTATCAGGGAGTGTAGATCCCAAATTCTTCAGCAAAGACTCTGAAGATCCATTTAATACTGTGAGAAGTTTTCCAGAAGGTAACAAAAACTGTTACACCCTGAATCCTACTCAAGGAAAAAACGGTAAGTATTTGATCAGAGCCGGTTTCATGTACGGAAACTACGACGGAAAAAATAAAACGCCACAGTTTGATCTATATCTGGGGGGTAGTCTCTGGGAGACAATAAATCTGGACCATGTTTACAGCCCTTTAACCAAGGAGATCATACATGTTCCTTCAACAGATTATATATTTGTGTGTCCTATTAATACAGGCCTCGGAGTACCATTTATATCATCTCTAGAGCTTAGGNTCTACCATTCTAAGGACATATATCAATACATATTGCAATAATAATGATTTACGCGATATAGAATAAAATGCCTTTTATTGATTAATGAACATTATTACAAAGAGTCAATTCTACAATAATTGATTGGCTCTAGGGCATCTACTCTAACACAGTCATAGCTATTTTAACCATCAATTACTATGGCTAGAGAACCTGGCTCTGATACCATGAAATAGAGAAAAAAACTTACTCACTCTTATTCACATTGAAGAAAAAAAAAATATCGTACATCTCTAGTTATAGACTAACTCTAGATATCTTGATAACCCTAAGTTAGGACTATCTTAACTTTTAAAATTTTAAAACTAGATAATGCCTAGATAACTCCTAAGTTTTCACATTCTAATCTAAGGAATTCAACAAACTTACATAAATCAACAAAGTTTATCAATCAAACACCAAAATCATCTGTCATTAGCCAAACACCAAAATCATCCATCCTCAACCAAACACCAAAAATCATCATCTAAAATGAAAACTAAAACATTCTTATCGTTATATGGCACTCCACAGTTGGTCGGTTTTGGCTGCCACATGAGGTGTTTGTGCCTGGATAGAATATGGTTGTCACTTAGGTCCATGATAGTTAGATTATCCAGTCATTGCTTGGACTCTCAATGAGGGTTTAGTGTGATACACAGTCGGCTAGAAAGGAGGGAGAAAAGAAGAAGAAAAAACCACGGAGGAAGAGAAGAGAAGAAGATACAAATGAAGAGAGAGAGAGAACAAAGAAGTTAGAAGAGAAAGTTAAAATAAAGGAAGTTGGGGGAAACCTAAAAAAGGAAAGGGGAAAAATTATGGATTTTTGTAAAGTTCAAATTGTCTATTTGGACTTTCTTAAAATTTCAAAATATAAATATTACCTTGACAATTGTTAACTTTAACAGGAAAAACTAATGGAATAGGGGTTAAGGTGTAATTTTTCGTACTAGGGGCATTGTTTTAAAAACCGGATAGCTCGTTGACCCGGTCAAGGGGCCGGTTCGCTGGTTGACCGATCCAACTGATTAGTCTGACCGGTATATAGCAGTCACATCTTTAAACAATTCCATTAATTGTTGTAAGTTTGAAAACCAGCAAATACATCCCTAAAATTTACCTATAAGCCCTTGTAAGTTTAAAATAAAGCAAATGCACCCTTCAGATTTTATTATTAATTATTTTCTTCTCTCTCCCCATTACTTCCATCTTTCTCGTTTTTTCTCTCTCCCCATCAGGCCATCACTCCCTATCACTTTCTTCTTTCTCCTTTTTTTTTCTCTCTCTCTCCCCATCACTCCCCGTCACTTTCTTCTTTCTTCTAACACATCCGCGTCTCTCTACTGTAATTTTTCTCTCCTCTTCTCTTTCTCTTCATCTCCTCTTTTCTTTCTTCTAATCTTCTTCCTTACTCTTTCTCTTGTCTCTTCTTCTCTTTCTTCTTCCTTCCCCTCCCCTTACTTCTTCTTCTTAACACTGTAGATTTTAGAGTAAGTGAAGAAGAATAGAAGATGAAAATGAAAGATGCAATTTGGTTTTTTTATTCAAATGAAATGGAGAATGAAATGATGCTGCAAATTGGTTTAGGAATTAGGAATATGAATTTTTTTGGATCAGATACCCAAAAATAGCGAACCGTTTTAAGCACCGGGCCGGTCGGACTGGCGGTTTTATACTGTTCCGCCAGTCCATTACCGGTCAAAAGCGGGTTTAATGACATTCCCAGTTTTTATGTTAACCCAGACCAGAGTAAAGGCCAGCTCCCGGTCGGACCGATCGATCCAGTCCGGGTTTTAAAATAGAGACTAGGGGTAGTAAGGAATTGAAGAAAACTATGGGAGTTTACTAAAACAATCCTCTCTTTATGTGAAGGGCTTTTTCAAATGGCACTATTACTTGTACCCAAAACTTCTCTATTTTAATTTATATTTTATATTTCAAATTTTATATGTTCAAAAAGACATAGAGAAAATCATGTCATTAATAATATCAAGTAATTGAGTATAGCAAAAAAATTATTTTAAAACAACTAAATTAATATATTTAGGTAAATATTTGTATTTTCTTAATGTTTATTATGTTAGGAAACAATCAAGTCATGGCAGCGGAAAACAAAAATTATATAATACAAATCGTTCCCTTAGAACCAAGATCAGGGCATAAATTATACAGTTTATACATTAAATCAAAATCTGCAGTAAAATCATATTAGAGTTAAGAATTCATACGCACATTTAGAGGCTCCTTAGAACTTGTCTCTGAATGGGTTTCGCTATTGATCCAAGAGTAGGATCGAACCAGCGGTAGTCCACACGAAGATAACTCGAAGAGCTAAAGAGGGATTTGCTAGATCCTCTTTAGCCTTAAGAACCAAGAAACAAGAATCAAATGAAAAATTTGATTCAATAAAATGTAAAGTGGCGCGGGGTAGAGAAAAAAGGGGTTGGAACTTTTTTCAATCAATGAATATAAAATACTTAATGAAAAAGTTATTTTAATTCATGGAACACATGCACTTATATAGTGCATGTGAAACCCTATTCCACTTAGGAATAGGCCTAGGCACCAACCTAAACAGCCCCTATGTCCAAACAGCCCCATTTAGATATTTTTATTTTTATTTTTATTATTATTATTTCAATTAAATTCAATTAATATATATAGAATATATTAACATTTAACAATAACAATAATTCATTTAAATATATGCATACACATATTTAAATATAATCTCACTTATTTAATTTTAATATTAAATTAAATAAAGGCAACAACCTCAGCAAATTTAATTGCACTGTAAGATTACCAAAATACCCTTTCACCTAAAAAGACGAAAACACCCTATCTTCTATGTGTGTGACCCGTAGGCTCCTTATCATACCGGCAGTGTGTAGTATTGCGATTAACACTAATTAATCGTCTCACTACCCACAAACCAAGATTGGCCCCTAACAAGGCATCATGGCCACTCGATAGATTTGGATTCAACGAAGCAGCTACCTGTCAACGATATGGTTACTGTACAATCAAATCCTTTCATCATCTGTTATCTCATCGAGACTGAGGCATAGAAATAGTGTCAACCTCACCTTCTCTCAATATGTATGTATTCAGTTTCTGGACCAATGATCGGAATAATAAACTGGATTGAGCAACAACTGAATCCCACTGTGGCCACAGTTTTAATGTCATTGTCATTTGCTGAATTATGTAGTGAGATAACTTCTCTCGTACCCAGGAGTAATGAATCCTCTGTCGATCCACCATAGTCTTGATACACTCCTTGATGCAGCCAATCACTGCTGTATTGATAGCTCTGAATAGAATTGCATTGGGCTAGTGTCAAACTACACCAATCGGTGCACAAGGCGCTCCGGTGATCTCAAGTCTAAGGATCACATGCACCACCATTCGTTAGAGGATTTATTCCATAGACACTAAGGTTACCATCCATATGGAATCCTCTGGTGGGTCAGTCCAGTGAACTTGCCTACAGCAAGCACCTATGTGTTGCACCAGGTTGTCACCAAACAACCTTAACAAGTAAGATCAGTCACTGCCTTTCGACAGGGTCATTGAACACTATGATAGACTTACCGTATTATCTGTGCCCTTACTTCAGAATAATATTAGGGCTATGGACGTTTCTGGAATGGCCACCATATATGCTCATAGGGTTCTCACTATCAAGATTTGAAACACTTGATACCCTCGTCATGGTTCTACCATTCTAAGGACATATATCAATACATACAATAATGATTTACGTGATATAGAATAAAATGCCTTTTTATTGATCAATGAACATTAATACAAAGAGTCAATTCTACAATAATTGATTGGCTCTAGGGCACCTACTCTAACATATTATTGATTGTAATTTATTAAAAATTGTTTGAATTATGATAAGTCAATATTAATGTTTTTTTGGTAATTATAATAAAATGGAAAGCTTACAAAAAAAATAAAAAAAAGATTTATAATAAATTTCAGAATAAATAAATTAAGTTGGGGTATTATTCAGAAGAAAAAATGATTAAAATGTCTATTGTTGATACGAAAATTGCACTAACCTAAGAGAACCGCCTTGATGGAATCGGAACTGATGTGTCCGTGATTTAATGAAAACCAGCAATGGAATATTTAATATGGTAAAATAAATAACACAAAAGAATTTTTAAATTGGTTCGACAAGTTAGAACTTGAGCCTACGTCCACTGTTATCTTATTGCTTCTAATGGATTAAAAGAACAATAATAAATTTGCCTAAAATAATTTGCTAACCCTTCTGTCATCGTTGGAGCGGGTTTATATACAATTTTGAGATAAAGGAAAGAGAGAAAATATCGGGATTGCAATCAAATTCAAATTGCAACTCTGATATTTCCGTGATTGAATGCTAAGATCGCCTTGTCATCAGTGGTAATCTTATCTCTTCTGAAATATCTGATATTTGAGCTTATCCCTAGTTTGTCAAACAACTGCTAGAGTTGGTCGCAACTAGCTTGTGTTAGGTTGAGCTATCCCTTTCAACGAGCTTATGCTAGGTCAGACCAATGTGAGTCAAACTGATTCTAGGCCGAACTATATCATCACGGGCTCTTGACTTCTCCAAGCTTAATGGAAAAATCACACACAACATCTTCCCCCTAGTGTTTGGTACTCATTTCGAGCTTCAAGGACTAATTGCCCCCTTTGACATTTAGCTCAAACTTCTTAAGTCGCATGCAGACTGTAGACTTGGCCGAAATTCACAAGTTAGCCTTAGTCTCAATCAACGTGAACAAGACTTGGCTTTTGTTGTGATATTTCTTGATGCATTTTGAATTGAAATGAGGGGGACATAGGTAATTTCCATGCAGTCGTGTCGCATTAAATGTTGTCGACTTTTGCAGTTAGTTTTTGTCGCGAGTAGGCAACTACA